GTCTTTTATGCTATTGGATCATCTTCCACTATACTTAAACATGTATTCTCACTCTAAGAAGAGACATAATAGATATATTGTAGACATTGTTAAGTCTATTACCTTCCAAAATAATTTCATCAATATGTAGCTTAGTGATAGTGCAGATTTTGAAATTAAACTTTGCCTCATTGCCTTTATCACATATTTGAGAAATGTTATGTTTAAGACACACTACATAGTACACAAATCATCTATAGCATGATAGAGTGATTTATCAGCCTTACCAATACTTGTTATTTATCCCTTTTTGCCCATTTTCAAATGACACACTCCCTCCTTGGAAGGTTGTTAGTGAGAGAAAGTTTTGCTTTTCACTAGTCATATGTCTTGACCATCCACTGTCTAGATACCAGTCTTGATCGTTTTCTCTCACTTTAGCCTGCACCATAAATCACAAGTTAGTCTTGAGAACCTGGACAAGCTTGGGTCCCTTTTTATTTGAAAATGGATGAATCAAATCTCTTCTTGTCCGGAAGGGAAGAGTATTGATATTTCTTTTCTTATTAACCTTAATCCACTTTGTTTGGACAAAGGACTTGACTGCGGGTTCTTCTTCCTTCTTCACATTCTTAAAAAGACCAAATGTATTCTTAAATTGAGCATGAACTAAAGCAGAGAAATTATCTCTTAAGTGTCCTGCCTTCCCACAGTGAGTGCACTGTGTTATCAGAAATTCCTACATACTTTGGATCAAACCTAAGTATAGGTTTTCTATAGCCAATTCCTGATGATTTAGTGCTGTAATTTTCATTTAGCGAATTTAGTGCATCTGAGGATCTATGCCACTTGCTTGGCCTAGATAGTTCATACATTGCCTTTTTCATGATTTTCTTGCAATACTTTATTCCTACAGTCAGCATTACAAAGACTATCTTTAAGCTCTTCTAATTCCTTTTCAAACTTCTTGTAGATCACTCATTATTTCCTTACCATGTGCATCAAGTAACTGCTCATTTTTAGAAGCGAGCTCAAGAACCTAGTTCTTAAGATCTATGACATGTCCTTTAAGATTAGCTTTGTCAGATTCAACTTTTTTGAGGTCAAGTTTAACACATAAAAGATTGCTTATTAACTGATCATTTCCAGCACTTAACCTATCTATCTCACTCATTATGGTCACTAATACGGCCATTAGCTATTTTTTTTTACATAGCATGGATATTTTATTTGAAGTTAGAAATACTTACCTAGTTTGTTTCATCTTCAACCTCTGAGTCGCTCATGGCCAACATCCCTATCACTTCTTCTTCTATTTGGCTTTCTTCAATTTGCATTAAAGCAACTTCAATGTTTTCATATTCAAAATCAGCCTCCAATGTCATCCATATATCATAAGCAGAGATGCAAGAGGACACCTTGTAGAGAACACTCTTTGGTAAACTTCTGTAGTGCAGCTCATCTGCCTTAGCATTTTTCTGGATCACTGGATGATCTTTAGCATCATAATACTCCTCTCTCTTATTACATTTGTTTAATTCACTATCCACTTTGGTGGGGATAATTGGTCCATGATTGAAAATAATCCATAAGTCAAAGTCAGTGGCCCGGGGTACGTTTCCGTACACATCTTCCATTCATCATAGTGGTGTCCATCAAATAAAGGAGGTCTTCTAATATGCATTCCTAGCTGTACCGCGGAATCAGTCTCCATTGCCTGTGTGTATCTATCACAGCATAAAGACTTATAGCCTCTTCCTCTTTCTCTTCCTCTTTATCACTTCCACTGTCCTCATATGCTGCTAGAAAAGCTTGTTTCATGGCTTCAGTGAATCCTTTGCCACTACAAGAAAATGGCAAAATTGTGACGGACGGTTCTGTCACAATTCCGTCACAAATTTGTGTTAGTGACGGAATTGTAACAAAAACAGGGACGTCCCAGAACCTTTGGTCGTAAATTTTTTTTGACGGATCAAATTTCGGTCACAAAATTTTTGTGACAGATTTTTATGACAAAAATCGTCCGTCGCAATATAGAGGCCTGCATGTAGCTTGATTCCGTCACAAAATAGAGACGGATTTGTGACAGATATATCCGTGACAATTATTGTGACAGAATAGTTTTCGAGACAAATTTATTTATATATTCACAGCAATTATGACAGAATATTTTGTCACAAATAAATTGTGACAAAATTTTCTGTCACAAATTGACACATTTGGTAGTTATATTAGTGACAGATTTGGGATACATAATATTTGTGACACATAAGTTTCCATCACTATTTAAGAATTTGGTGAATGTTTTTGACCATGTAGATCTGTCACAAATTTAATTTTGGACTTTCAGCTTTAACAAATAATTAATAATACTTATGCAAAAATTAGCTAAAAGCATAAAGACAACTAACAACAACCAACCATAACAAACATAATATGAAATATATAATAAAACATACGAAGTTAAAACATGCCAAAATATAAGTTCTACTAGCAAAAGTCTAAACATATTAAAAATTACAAAGCATCCAACAATCAAAAGCCTGCCAACGTTAAAATAGCACTTAGAGAGTATCCAAGTAGCTAAAGTCTAACAATGTTAAATACTTAAGCATTTGGTTAGTCCCTGTTAAAGGGAGTAGGAACACTAGATGGGTGAGATGATAATGCCATCTCGCTCATCCTGCGCATCCATCGCTCCTCCGTAGACCGAAATCGATCATCATTCTGTTGATTCAAACGCGAGACCTCTTGGTCTACGCGATCATCATCCTGCCAGCTTTCCCATATATGCTCTTTAATAAAAGTAGGTCTGGTTGTAAGTCTCCGCCACTTGTGCAGCTTTTTAGTGTATAAGGTAGATGCCACTTTTTTCCAAGTATGTTTGATTATGGCATCCTCAGCAGAACTCCAGTGATATAATTTCTAACAAAAGATATTTGATCAGTGACATAAATACATATATATACTAAATAATAATTATAATTTTTTTTTTGTAGAAAGCGATATTTACCATAAATTCATGCCAATAGAAGTCGGGTTAATTTCACTTATGGTCATCCAACTTATCATTTATTTCACAAAAATAACTTAACTATTTTTCATCACTTAAAAGTCACTCAACTTTACCTTTGTAACTTAAAAGTCATTTTAGTTCAAAACCTATAAAATATCCTATAAAAATATGACATGGAATTAAATTTAATTAAAAAAATCTAATTATATTGCCAAATAAGCTTAGATGGACCGCACCCAATTTAGACCCATTTCATCCACAATTCGATTTGACCCATAACCCAATGGGTTTTAATATTTTGACATTAGAAGGAAAAGAAGAGAACAATTATTTTGTGCTAAAAATATCTTACTTTATTTGTTACGTAATAACCTTAATATCACCACCTATAATTTCATTAAAAATATGAACAGAACTAGCACAGAACCAGTTTTTGCATCCTTCATAGCATTTTATAATTTTCCATGAAGTTAAAATACTACCAATCAATCTCTAATAACAATTAAATGTATCACTAACAGACAAGAACAACAAGCTAATAAGAACCTATTTTTACAAACTATTATTCCATTAAAGTCAATATATTGCTTATTAAGCAATATTAACAGATAAAAATACTGCTCAGTAAGAAACACCCACAAAAAAATTGCATAGTAGAAATTGACACACCGCAATCGTAGACAACCTATAGCGATAATTTGGACAAAAGAAAGAGACAATGTATTGTGTCATTGACCGTAAATGTACAACCAAAACCTAAAGATAAATTCAAAAGACCTAATTTTTCTTAAATTTATTAGACTTCTTTGTCTACAGATTAACCACAAAATCAAAGTGCTAGTCCAGTTAATTGTTCAAATGTTAATAATCCATTTTGGTTATAGGTCAAATCGTGCTGAGGAAGAAATAGGTCTAACTTAGATATGGTCTATTTAAGCTTATGTAGCATTATTGTTAGATTTTTTAATTAAATGTAATGCCATGTCATATTTTTTATTGGATATTTTGTAGGTTTTAAATCAGAATGATTTTAAAGTTACAAAAATAAAGTTGAGTGACTTTTAAGTGATAAAAATAGTTAAGTGACTTTTGAGAAATAACTGATAAGTTAGATGACTACCAGTGAAATTAACCCATAGAAGTCACGAGTGGATTGGCAGACAACCTTCCATGTGTAACCAGTAGCATCTTGCCGCTCCATAAAGGTATCAGTGATGGTCTTCGAGATAGAATGACCATTAGGAACGAACCTGAACAAAATTAAAAATAAATAACTAATACATTTCACGATATTTATATTTTTAAAAGATAAAACATATATACAAAAATACTATTTCTTACTTTTCTCCCACAGCTGAGATGGCCGACCGACTAGATGGACATGAGCCGGTAGTAGATCCAACAGTGATATCTGGAGTTCCAGGAGTACTAGGAGTACCAGGAACTGATGATGGTGAGTCACTCATATTCTTAAAAGTTTATTAATTAGCAACGGATTACAGCTTTGAATACATACAAAATATCTCATGAAATAACTCTTAACATAATAAATCTTAATAACTGAAGTAACAATGTTCCTTATAAGATAAAGTATTAGCTTTTACATTATATCAGTTCATTTTGTGTATACAAAAGATATAATGTACAGCTTATAACTGAAGCAACAAAGTTCCTTATAAGATTAAGTACTAGCTTTCAGTTACAACAATTCATTTTGTGGACACAAAAGATAAGATGTACAACAAAAATTACAAAATATACGGACATAACCAAATTGAATAAAACAGTACTTTCCTCCTTACTGGTTCTAAGAGATAATTCAAATTAGATCCATTCAAAAACATAAACTTTTACCACTTCAAGTAACATTTAGTTTATTCACTTTCTTCATCATCCCCCTCCTCCTCCTCCTCCTCCTCCTCCTCCTCGTCCTCGTCCTCGTCCTCGTCCTCGTCCTCGTCCTCCCCCTCCTCCCTCCTCCCCCCCCCCCTCCTCCTCATCCTCCTCCTCCTCCATGTCAATGAGCAAACCATCAGGATCATTCAATGCATGGGGAGTTTCATCTACAGAAATATCAATTGCATGCACTTGAATGTCATCCTCTTGAAAAGCTGAATCAATAAGTTGTTCTGCTTTTTTTGAAATCTCCACAACAGATCGTGCCTTTATATTACAAACAGCTAACCATTCATCTGTTGTCCTCTTTAGAGTAGGGTAAGTTTCAAGATACACCTGAGTAGTTTGCACTGCCATAATAAATGGTTCATATTTATTAAAGGTCCTTCTTTTGTTAACATCAACAAGATTATATTGTGCATGTACTCGAGTACCATGTTTTGGTGTTGGATCAAACCAAGAACATTTAAATAACACGGTTCATTTGATTGGTAATGCAGGATACTCTAACTGTAAAATCTTTGTCAACCGACCGTAATAATCAATATCATCTGCACTGTGGCTAGAGCTCTTGATGCATACACCACTGTTCATGGTAGATCTCCTTGAACCATATCTTTCAGTGTGAAACTTATAACCATTTACAACATATCCATTAAAAGACTTAACCTTATATAACGGCCCTTCTGCAAGATCTTTTATGATTTGATTGCTAATGCCCGATGAAGGATCATGTGCCTATTGACATTACAGGTAATTAAACACAATTTAAGATTATATTTTACAAGAAAAAAGGAATAGTTTATTAAGACTTACGTATTTCTCAAACCAAGTTGCAAACTCTGTTTCAAGTTTAGCATCAATCTCGCTATTTTGAATATTTGGTTGAATTTCTCTCAAGGTATCTTCATAAATTCTAATGAAAGAAAGCTAGTTTAATTTAACAATATCAAATGTACGCAACTGATATTGATATTTATATCATGATGATTAACTTACCTTATATATGGTTTCACTTCATCACAATTCAACAAAACATATGTACGAGCCGCATGATATTCTTTATCATCTAACCTCCTTGGTTTCTTCTTTCCAAAAGATCGTCCAGCATGCTTGAAAATAGAAAGCATTTCGGGATATTTGTCACCTCCAACCCTACAATCATCCGAATTTCGTGGCACTTTCCTATGCCTTGTCGACACATGTGACTTAAAGTAGTGCGCACAAAAGGATGATGCTTCTTCAACCAAATATGCATTGCATATAGAACCTTCAACTTTATTCTTATTTTTTACTTTATATGTTCTTCAACTTGCGGAGATACCTTCAACCAATAGAGTAAATCAACATGTAATTAGTTATACATTTATATATTACATTTATGTGTCTTATAACATAATTTAGTTTATTTACCTCTCATATGGATACATCCATCGGCCCTGAACTGGGCCAGCTAAACGTGCTTCGTAAGCTAAATGGATAGAAAGGTGTTCCATAGGATCCCAGAAGCTCGGAGGAAAAATACGCTCAAGCTTACACGAGGTGTGAGGAATATCTTTTTCTAATTGTGCCATGTGTTCCTCTGTTATTGCAGTAGCGGTGAGATCTTTAAAAAAAAGACTCAACTCCGTCAATGGTTGCCATACATTTCGTGGAAGTAGTTCTCGAAATGCAACGGGTATTAGGCGTTGCATAAACACATGGCAATCATGACTCTTCATACCAAAGAGTTTAAGCTTGTTCATGTCTACACATCTACCCATGTTAGACACATAGCCACCGGGAAATATCAACTCTTGCAACCACTTACAAAGCACTTCTTTTGCATTCTTTTCTAACATATAACAAGCTTTAGGATACTTTTTGCTACTTTCATCTTGATGCAACTCTGGGCGATGACAAAATATTTTCAAATCTGCTCTAGATTTGGCATTGTCCTTTGTTTTCCCTTGACATTCATCACCGTGTTAAAAATATTATCAAACACGTTTTTCTCGATGTGCATCACATCAAAGTTATGCCTAATAAGATTTGTTTTCCAGTAAGTCAAGTCCCAAAATATACTTCTTTTCTTCCAACCACATAAACTATTCTTTGCGATTCTTTCATTTATCGCTTCAGAACCAAGTTCTGTGACTTTCTTGAGCCCCAAATCCTCAATCTCCCTAAATATTTGTAAACCCGATTGTTCAGTACATACAATCTTATGTACTGCTTGACCCTTCTTGAACCACCTTTTGTTCCTTCGCTACGGATGACCTGATGGTAAGAATTTTCTGTGATTGTCAAACCACAAGGTCTTTCCACCATTGGATAGTGTAAAAGCATCTGAGTCTGTCATGCAATAAGGACAAGCTAATTTTCCCGCTGTACTCCATCCCGACAACATTGAATACGCTGGAAAATCACTTATTGTCCACATCAATGCAACTTCCATTTTAAAATTATTCTTACTTGAAATATCATATGTTTGTGCCCCCTCCTCCCACAAATTTTTTAACTCTTCAATGAGGGGTTGTAAGAAGACATCAGTTTTCTGTTTTAGATTTTTTGGACCAGGTATAATCACAGATAAAAACATGTATTCATCCTTCATGAACATCCAAGGTGGCAAATTATATGGCGTGACTATGACAGGCCAAGAAGAATATTGTTGGCCTGATTGACCAAATGGATTAAACCCATCAGTGGACAATCCCAATCTGACATTTCTCACTTCAGATGCAAAACTTGGTTGTGTTTGATCAAAATGCTTCCAAGCAGGAGAGTCTGAGGGATCACGCATGACACCATCTGTTTCATGCTCAGAATGCCACCTCATATGCTTTGCAGTAACATTCGATGCATACAATCTTTGTAGACGCGGAGTTAAAGGAAAATAATACATCTTCTTATAAGAAATATTAGTTTTCTCCTTGTATTGTTGATATTTTGATCTCTTGAACCGAGGGTGGGCACAAAACTTGAAATTGACAAGTTCGCTATCTTCACGCCAATAAATCATACAACCATTTTTGCAACAGTCGATCTTCTCTACTGGTAAGCCCAACCCTCGCATTAGCTTTTTGGTACTATAAAAGCTATCTGGCATTATGTTATCATTTGGCATTAGTTCTGATATAAATTGACATGACTCATCGTACAACTTTTCAGAAAAATGATGTTCTGCCTTTAGATTCAAAAGCCAAGCAACGACAGACAACTGCGAATGTCCGTGTGGGTTTCCCGGCCAAATTTCCTGTTCTGATGCTTTGAGCATATTATAAAGATTTTGCATGGTTGGATTTGGTTCCTCTTCTATATTACCATCAAAAGAAGGCCCACCAACATCAAAAACCATAGACTGAAATGCATTATGAGATTGAGAGTTTATAGTTTCACCAAAAGTTTCTTCTTGATGATCACTAAGTACAGTTGGATGTGGCATATAACTTTCTCCATGGTGATACCAACGATAATAATTCGGTTTAAAGCCGTACGTCCCAAGATGTGTCATAATTGTAAACTCATCCAAAATATTTTTATTTCGACACTTGCGATGATTACAAGGACATCTTAGCTTTTCACCATCCATGCATTTTGGATGTCTTTTAGCAAATGCAACAAACTCCTCAACCCCTATAATAAATCTAGGATTTATGAATCCATCTTCCAATACTCTAGCATACATCCACTCATGATCAGAATTATTCATATTGTACACTTTAACACAAAAAATAAACATGTGTTAGAACTTACATGATGACAAACAAGATTATTTGTTGTAATTAAAGTTGTCTATTATGTAGCTATTTTTTAAAAAGTAAAAATTTAATCTATTAGAACATATTTGTACTAAAGCAGACATGTCAAGCTTGCATTCTGCTATAGAATCCAACAGAAAATGGCACTAATTTAACAAGATTCAATGATAACTAGAAAAGTCACAAGTTTCCTACCTAACTGTATCAACATCAATAAAAGTCCCAAGGAAAAAATATATGTAATGCCAAATATTGAAATAGAAATTACCATTCACTAGATAAATCAGAAAAATATCTAGAACTGCGTACTTCTTGGAACTGTTAATTTCTTTTTTAATCTTTCTGCTAGGGAGGTGCTTGACTCCTTGCCTATATGTTGAAGAAACTGATCCAAAAAAGAGAATGAAACAGAAAAATATAAATGACCATAGTTTAATACATTTAGACAAGATAAATAAGATAATTAATATTGTTTAAGAGCACTTAGTTTACTTTATGAGATTCCAGCAATAAAATGATATAAATCAATTTAGAGTCAGGAAGCAACATATATAGCAGATATATAACCAAAAACAACCAAAAAGAAGGTATAATAACACAAGTTATAGCAAATTAAAAATCACCACCACTCCTAAAGAATTTTTGAAACGCTCAAATGCACTCAATATGAGGCTTATCCTACGCACCCGGTCCCTTTCGACAACTAAGAGTAATTTTGAGTTCCTAACCATTGCGACAGTAACTCTACCATGAATATTATATCCTATGAGGAGGTTGATGAATTGTCTATGAACTACAATGATGAATTAGCTCAAATAGGGGTGAGTCTTGTTTTAACAACAAGGACCATATTCATCTTAGTAACTAGAAAACTACTACCTAAAAAATATCAGAAATTTATTAAGCATATAGAAAAACTTTTCAAAAGCTGGAAAACAAAAGCCTGCACATTCTTCATTTTTTTACTTTTTTCCAAGATAACAAAGTTGATATCTACAATAAGCACAATTGTTTCCTTTAGCGAAATTAGAGCCTTTTCCTTTGCTCAAAATTAAGACCAAATCATAAACAAGAAACTAAAATCTCACCTATCTCAGAAGTATTTCAAACCCACTTCAAGTGAATGACCCAATATCAAAGCTTAATAAAGACCCTTTAAAATTGTACCTAAAATAGTTGCATGCAAAAGCTTTTTAGCTAAATTGGAGTTTTCTGAGCTTAGATAGAAGAACACAACAGCAATACCCAAATGTTATTCACTTTGGAAAATAATATTCAAGAAAAACATAGACAAATCTGAACAAAAATTGAAAAATCCAAAAGCTATTGAGTGTGGATGAAGAGGCTGGAGCAAAACCAAACCTACAAGTGTTGCTGTGGCGTTGAGTCTAGAAGGGTACAAGAATCGCCATTTGTGTTTTGTGTTGAAAGAGAGAGACAAGCAGGGAGGAGTGGAATGAGAAAATGGGTCTAAGTCTTAAGAGTTTTGTGGAATGAGAGGTTTGGCGGAGGGAAACTAAAAAGTGGGCCAAATATTTGGCGGGGGAAACTAAAAAGTGGGCCAAATATTTTGGAAAAAATTTGTAAGTTGTCCAAATGTTTCTAAAATTGTGACTGAATGTTCCGTCAAAAATTATTGTCACGGAAAATAAATCTGTCACAAAATTATTTTTGTTAGATAATTGCTCTTTTATAATATTGTGACGGAAAATATAATCTGTCACAAAATTTTTGACGGTTTTTTGACAAAGTATTGCCATTTCTTCTCTTCTGCCATAATTTTGTGACAAAAATATGTTCGTCACAAAGACTAAATTTCATATCTGTCACAAATTTGTCACAAATCCGTTACTCTTAGAATTTTTTAGGAAAAAATAAAATCTTTTGATAATTTTGTCCATGTAAGGTTGATTTGTCATAAATGCGTCACAAATCCGTCACAATTTATGACAGCATGCTTCGTCTCAAATATTCCGTCACAATTTTATAATTTTCTTGTAGTACGTAGGATTTTGCCTTTGTTTAGGCCCTTCTCTTTCATTTTTTTCCTTTTCTCTTTTTCAACTCTTTCTTTATTCTATTAAATTTCTCACATTGGGCAGTCTTTGACCATGTGGTCTAGTTTGTTGCACTTGTAACACTCATCATATGAAGCTTTGTCAATCTGCTTAGGTTTGCCATCGTTTTCTCTCTTAGATGTATTTTTGGAATTCTTTATGAACCTTTTGAACTTAGCAAATATTGCAAGGTCGAGATCATCATTGTCAGACTCATCTTCTTCGGATGCTTTAAGAATCAAGGCCTTATCCCTCCTTGGTTCTTCCTCGTGCAGTTCCAACATTCTCATCTCATGAGTCTTTAAGTTTCCAATAAACTCATACAGTAAAATCTTATCCAACTCCTTTGCTTCCTGGATGGCTGTGACTGTTGATTCCCATGAAGCTGGGAAAATCCTTAGAACCTTGCTAACCAACTTTTTGGAAGTGAATACCTTTTTCAAGTGATTTCAGTTAATTTGTTATTATGGTAAACCTAGTCATCATCTCCTGGATGGGTTCAAACTCTTTCATAGAGAAGAGCTTACAGTTCCCCATAAGCAGTTCAATCATTAATCTCTTCACTTGGTTTGTTCCTTCACGAGCAGTGTGAAGTGCATCCCAGATCTACTTTGCATTAGAGCACGCAAATATCCTATTGTACTTATCAGGACCAAGTCTACATATGTGGATCTTCTTGGCCTTTGCATTCTTTTCCATCACTCTGAAATCTGGTGCCATGAATTTAGAGGGGGTGTTGGGAACAATTTCATTTTGCCCATTTTGTTTAGTGGGAGTTAGTGGACCTGGATTCACTATTGTCCATAGTTCATAGCCTTCAGCCGTCAGAAAATCCTCTATTCTTGCCTCCATCAATTGTAGTATTTTCTGTTGAATAGAGGTGGTCTAGTAGTTGATTGTCTTTCGTTAATCCCAGGTGGGGAACTTACTTTGCTTCTTTCTAAGTGTTATCCACATGTGAGAGAACCCGCTTTGATACCAATTATAAGTTTGAGTGCCTTTCTAAATTACTAAAGAACCTGGTTCATTACCTTACTCCTTAAGCGTAAGCGAAATAAACAGTAAAACAAGCACAATAATTTTTACGTGGAAAATCACCAGGCTCAAAGGTGCAAAGATCACAACCTACCACGTAGGATATTAACTTCAACTTCACTAAAACACATGAGCCAAATGTATCGATTACAAGACATGTCAATCAATACCCACCAGTTCTACTGCTTCAACTATTTGGCTTATAAGTTACTCTTACTTACAAGCTCAAACAATTACTTCAACTCACTAATTATGTTATGACACTTTGATTACAACTCAATTTCCTAAAATACTTTCACTAACTGACTCAAGAAGAACACTAGGACTTGTAATAGACTTGAGTGTTGAAAATGTAGTTCCACGGTTGACCTGCAAAAGGATGGTCTTCTCAGTTCATAGGGAAAGTATTTAACTTCCATGTACTCCGAGATATTTGGGAGTCCTACACTCAATCAACTTCTTGTTTGACAGCAATCCTAAAGTTCCAAGGACTCCACAGATTTTGTGACTCTTTTCTATCACTTATGCAAGCATATCTTCTTGGACAACCACCCTTATCACGTTAGCAGCCTTCTTCCAACAAGCTCAAACTCGAGTAACTTTGTGAAAAAGTTAATGCCTTGTAAGAACCTTCAATGGAGACCTTGAGGACCCGATTCTTAGAGAATTTCATCGGCTACCTTGAGAACCTAGCTTTTAGAGCATTTCCTCTGGACAAACTTTGTTAATCATCAAAACTCCAATACTCAACAATATTTTAGGTGACATGAAAATATAATACTTTTTGCTGTGAGTGTATAGAGGTTAAATTATGAGGATTCATCATAAAATGGTAAATTTTACATTGGTACTATAATCCTCTTCCTTTATCTGGCTTGAGATCGACAATGTAAGCAAGTTCACACTAGCGAAGTTATATGATGATGATATGAGTCATGAGGAATCATATGTATCCCATTCAAATCAGAGTTACTTTTGTATAAAAAGCAAATTCAAAGAGAATTGGGTCCAATACTTGATATAAATCCTTAATTTGGATTTAACAAAGAAAAATCATGTTTGCTGTAACATCGGTGAGATGCAGAATAAAAATGATGAATTAAGTTAAATAATTAAGTGATCAAGAGATTAGTACAATTTATACTAGTGTCTATAAATTTGAAAACCATATATAATTTTATATTACGGTTTGATTTTCCAAGAACGAGACATCATCCGACCAAGGCTGAGAACATCACCGTCCAAACAAAATCCTTCACATTACCTTAGCCTCATCAGATGTATATTCATGTTCCTACGACTATTATTACCATTCAACACGGCCATCAGATTACTTCACCCCATTGCATTTAGTAAGTCGATCGTACCTTTATGCTTCTTTTCTCTCCGCATCGCCACAAGAAGCAGCGAATAAGATTTAATATTTTACTAGCAATTTCGATCTATTATTCTAATTCAACCTGTATAAAGACTTTCAGTTTGAGACTTTAATTATTTTAAGATTTTATATTTTACCTTATATTTATATTTAGTTTTGTATTGTTTTTCTATTTGCCTTTCGTCTATTATAAATACATATATTATCTGTGTGGAAGATTGTGGACTAACTAGTACACAATTACACACAAAGCAAATAAATAAAAAAGATATAACACAAGAATTTAATGAGTTTCATCTACCTAATCCTCGGGGCTCATTATGAATGAGAAGAAAAACACAATACAATAAATCTCCAACTACAAACTCTCTATATAGATCTCAATTATTCAAAAACCTATAAGAGAACGACTTTCTCAATCCCACAAGGACAATAAGTTTTCTTTTCCAAATCTATTAGAACAATGGGGTTTTCCGACCTATAGGGATTATGGTTTTCCTAAAAATATTAGATAATATAATATAATTAGGATTCATAAAATTGAAGATATAATTAACAAATCTTTCACTTGGCTTAAATTCTTTTTTTCAACAGGAACAACATCTCTCTAACTTGCCTTCAATCCTCACACGGGCTATATCCATTACTGCACACATCAACCAAGTCTAAATAATGCTTAACTTGTTAAGAGACTCAATCTCTTTAGCTATAGTGCCATTTGTCTATCTGCGTCTGCACCCGAAATAGCTTTTGGATAGCTATTATACACAATCATATCACTGGTCTCTGCAGCAGATAAAGTAAATTTCACAGGATTTAAATATTCAAGAAGATTACGATCAACTATCTTTACAAACCTTTGTGGTCGGTTGATAACTCTCTTCTCTTTGCCTGTTGCGAAGCTATAGTGGTTGTTGCGCAGTTACATCAACAATATCGCTTTGATCAAGATTTTGCACCTTCTCCACTTCCTCTACTTCTGAACTACTAATTTGAGTTAGTGAAGATTCAATTCCAGCTCTGTGTAGTCTCTGACATCACGATCTATTTCTGCTATTCCATTCACCTTCTCACTTTTCAGTGAGGCAAATTCTTTAAATGTAACATTACTACTAATAATTAATCCTAGAGTCTTTTGATATGTGCACCACAACCTATAACCTTTCACTCCAGTTGCATACCCTAGAAATATATGGTTCTTTGCCCTCAACTCAAGTCTTCCATCTCTCACATGAGCATAAGCAGTAAACCTAAATATCCTCCAGATTTGAATAATCAGCAGACAAACCAGACCATATCTCAAAACGAATTTTAAACTCAATAACTCTGGATGGAAATATGTTGATAAAATAACAAGTTGTATTGATTACTTCACCCTAAAAATCCTTGCTAATACATAAGTGTGAAAGAATATTTCATGCCTATCACAAAGTGCTCTGTTCATATATCTTGTAACACCATTTTGTTGTGGTGTTCCGACACAGAGTGATGTCTCAATATGCTGCCTCTGATGCAGAAATTATTGAGCTCTGAATTGAAAATCTTCAATCCCCTGTTAGTTTGAAGATGCTTAACTTTTCCTTTTGCCTGTTTGATGGTGGGGTAGAAACCCGTGTTTTACTCATAGTTTGCACTCTAATTACTGTATTTTACTTGTGTTTGAGTTTAAATGATAATGAATTGCACTTGTTATGTGTTTTAAGCCTTGTAGGAAGTGATTCTGAGTTAAAAAGATAATCTGGAGCTAAATTGAACAATTTGGAGCTTCGAAGTCTGCGTAAAAGATCGGGATCGCGTTCGGGGGTCGGGAGCCAAGTCTGGATGTCATAAAGTAAAGAAAATGAATTACTCTAGAAAACTAACACCGCCGCGCCGCATTGGGCGGCGCAGCTGTGTAAATTGCTGCTGCCTGTCAGAAACTGCTCTTTGAACTTCCCCACTACCATACCACATGGTGCGGCGCTAGGCGCGGTGCGCTTGTACAAATTTCTCAAAGTATTATTCTGTTTCGGCTCAGAAAAGGTAGTTTCATCTGGCCCATTACTACATGGTATAAATACACCAACAATATGATTTTAGAGGACTTTTGACCTACGGAATATTGGAAGAGCATGGGAGACTCAAAGCACAAGGACTCATCATTCCTTCCTCAACTCAACACCCGAGTTTGGATTGAATTCATATTTTCTTATTATTCAACTTTATTTGTGATGATTTTCTCCATGAATATGGAGCAGTTTCCCTTAGAGTTTGACAGATATTGTGTTTTTATTTTTTAACTCTAGTTTTGTGCTTGAATTCGCTTATGGAGTTTTGAATTGTTTGCAACTTTATTCACCACTTTATTTAATCGAAAGAGGAATGTTGTGGTGGTTATCTTACATTATTTTATTTGGCTTAATTCTATAATTCTCTTAAATAATCGAAAGAGCTTGATTAATTCTTGATTAAATCAAGTTATGAGAATAAATACGTTTTTCTGAAGACCAATCCAGTAGCGCATGCATACATATTTTTGCAGTGCTTATATTAGTTCACCTTGTAGAGTTAAGATTTAATCGAGAGAGGCGTTTTAATTACATGTTTGAATTAATCATCGAGTAAATTCAAGAGAATCATTAGAACATTAGAGTGAACTGAACTAGAGTTGGATCCCAAATAGCTATCTTGCACCTATCCTATCACGGCTTTTATTTCTCCCGTTGATATTTTGGTATTGCTCAATTCTTTTCTTTCAGTGATCAATTTTAATTGTTTTAGTTTTATAGTTAATTTTAATTATTAATCATCCCAACCGGCGTGTTAATCATCTTGAATAGCGTTAAGCTATGAACATTGTTTAAATTCTATCCCTATGGAGACGATAATCATAACTATACTATTTTAGCTAGCGAGCATTAATTTCGTATTGTATTTTGCGCTCGTCAGTGCCGCTCAATCATCATCATCTATTCAAAAAAATACTGAAAATACTGCATGTTTTATTTTCAGAAATAAATCTACACCATTCTTGTGCAATAGTCATCAAAGTCATAAAATATATAGCGCCACTCTTGGAGAGAACTTTGTTTGGACCCTACGCTCATGAAGATCGCACTGAAAGCCCTCTTCTTCAGGTCTGCCTTCTTTTACTCTTTCATCTTCCAGGAAAATCCTCATCAATTGCCTTCTATAACTATTGTAACACCATGGAAGATCTCATCCTAATCTCCCATAGAGTAAAACTAGACCCCAATCGAGTTTTTATGATTCGTACTTTGTTAAAGATGATGAAGACATTTTTAGGATAAGATAAGGAATGAAGTTATTCAGGAGAAGGTGGGCGTGGCTCCTATGGATGACAAGAGGCAGGAAGCGAGGCTCAAGTTGTTCGGGCACGGGCAGAGGAGGAGCCCTGATGCTCCGGTGAGGAGGTGCAAGCGTATGGCCTTGGCGGGTACAAGAATAAGTAGAAGGAGGCCTAAAAAGTATTGGGGAGAGGTGATCAGACAGGACATGGCGTTGCTGCAGATTTCCGAGGACATGACCCTTGATGGGAAGGTGTGGAAGTTGAGCATTAGGGTTGTAGGTTAGGACGTAGTCGAGTCCGGGGGTGAGGCTAGTTTGATAGGTTTGACCTTCGACTGCTAGTGGTTAATGTTGTGTTAACACTATCCTTCCGTTGTTCATAGCATCGAGGCTTATTTTCTGGTTTTGTTATTGCATTTTAACTATTTTCTAGTTTTTATGATGCTGTTATTATTTCTTTTGTTTCTGTTTAATGGTAACTAATATATTGTCCCTTTCCTTCTCTTCTTGTCTTTTCCGTCTTTTTGAGCCGAGGGTCTCTAAAAAACAGTCTCTCTACTCCTTCGGAGAAGGGGTAAGGTCTACGTACACACTATCCTCCTCAAACCCCATTTATGGGAATATACTGTGTTCGTTGTTATTGTTATTTTTTAAAATAAAATACATCATTTACGTTTAAGGAAAAGCTTTGCGAAGCGACATTGGATGATACCTCTTACTAAAAATTTTACGCAACTGGTGTGGGTCTGTAATCGACTCGTAAGTTAATAAAAATATAGCACTATGATTCTTTAAGATTTTACGTGCTATTTCAAATTGATAGTAAATGCATCATTTTCAACAGGGGCGAACCCACCTGAGAGCAAGCGGTTCAACTGAATTCGCTTCATCAAAAAATTATACTATTTGCACGTGTAATTACACTTGATAAATGTACATTTAATATAAATGAACCCACTTTGCGAAGGGTTGCTCAATGGTCAGCGGGATCAGTTTCCCATAGAATGCGTGGGTTGAAACCTGGCATATATATAAGCATATGCCGTATGTTTTCTTTACTTTTTTTAGCTTAAACTAATTCTATTTAAAGTAATATATTAAAATTGTTAGCTCATATTTCCTTTAAAATTTATTATTTGTGTCATATGGAGTTACCATTTATGTTATATTACTTATTATTTGTATAATTTAGAGTTACCTGTATGTCCAAATTGGTGTATTTTTTTTTTATGTCTTTTAATTGTTTTATATGTAATAAACTTGTATTTACCGTTTATTTTATGTATTTAACACCACCTCAAAATGAAAAAAAAATAAAATCATGAGCATTATTGGAAAAAGGAAAAATCAACATACAAATTTCACTTTATTGATCCCGCTCGAATAAAATTTTGGGTCCGACGTTGATTTTCAAGGTGTGTCTAGTCGTTGTACATATATAAGTATTATTATTTTTAAAAATTATATATTATTTACACACAAAGCAAACTTTTGTGAAACATTATTAGATGACACCTAGCGTTCCGGCTCTGACCACAAGCCACACGGTTTTTTAAATTAGGCACTTTTCAAGGTGGCGTTGAATCAGGCTGTATAGTTCATACTAAGCAGCTTTTTGTTTGTATATATGTGTCATCCCTCTTCCCTTAAGACTAAGGTATAATCTCCATAAATTAGAGGCCATTCACTCATCTCCTTCTGTGACTTCTGACTAAGTACAGATTTTTTCAATTATGCGTTACTTCAAGTTACTCGGACAGAGCAAAGCTCAAGATTCAGATAACACACTGTTAACTGCTAACAATATTCCGACAGAATTCCTCTGTCATGCAATATTTGCTGGAGGTACATCTCTCTTTCTCGAGTGACATATTTCTATAACTTTAAAAATTGTACTTTTAACTTTAGTGACAAGACAAGCTCTTATAAGCTTTTATGTGTCAAAATTGCAGATAAATTCCACGATGTAGAAGCTGCATATGGTCGAGTAGAAGGAGTTGTAAAAACGGCAACTGGTTACTGTGGAGGAAATATAAGGAAACCTTCCTATAGAGAGGTGTCTGAAGGAAGAACAGGTCATACTGAAGCAGTGAAGATCACATATGACAAGAGAGTCGTTTCTTACACATCTCTTTGTGATTTTTTCTGGGAAATTCATGATCCAACCAATAAACATTTCCTTGTCAGTATCTAATCTCCTCTTAAATACTCTCTCTGATTCCATTTTACATAAGTTTAAGCTTATATATATATGTTATGCAGAATTTCGGGTTAAGTACGCACCTGAGATCAGCAATATTCTGTTCAACAGAAGAAGAGAGGAAACAAGCACAGGAGTCAAAGATAAGGCGACAAATGAAGCTTAATAGGAGGATTCTTACAAAGATAACTCCATTTTCGAAAGAAATTAATTGCGAATTCTTTCTAGCGGAGAACCAACATCAGAAGTATTATTTGCACAAGTATTACAAGCTTTGTCAGAGTTTGAACCTACGCAGCACTCAACAATTTGTGGACTCCTACATCGCTTGCAAATTCAACGGGTATATATGTTCTTGTCTTTTTCCCTTCTTTGTTTATCAAATTTCCTCCTAATAAATTATGCTTTGCATAAATCTTTGACACAAGATTTGGGATCCATGAATAAGCTCTTCTCATTTGACCAAATTTTGAATTTATGTCGGTTTGTACAATGACAAGTATAAATGCATTGGTTTTTGTCCGCTGGTATGTTTACGATTCAATGAATGTGCAGAGTATTGGCTTTGGATGTGGAACTCATCTTGGACAAGTTACCACAATTATCGACGACTTGTCTGTTACCCAAGCAATGCAGATCAACTTGTGATGAAATTATACAAGATTTAAAGAGAAGTTTAATCAGCCACACTTCTTAAGTAGTGACTTCATTATTTTCTTTTTCACTCTATATATATGTTATACCAGAAACCAATTGAAATTTGATAATGGCATGGTAACGATCCGACTGGTTGTTTTGAGTACTAGCTTTTCTTTTTGTGTTCCGAGACTTTTCATAGCTCTATTTAGTGATTTATGACTTGCGTATGTGGTCCGTGTCGATTTTCGAAAAATGTAAACGTGAATTTTTAAAGAAAATGTGATTTTTGCCTTTAAAAATGACTGGAGTTGACAACGGTCAACATTTTTGGTAAACGACCCCGGATTGGTGTTTTGACGATTACGGTAGGTTCGTATGATGATTTTGGACTCGTGCGTATGTTTGGCTGGGGTCCCTGGTGACCCGAGGCCGTTTCGACGATATGTGAAACATTGCAAAATGTAAGTTTTAAACTTGAAAATCCTTGAGTTTTGATGATCAATTCTTGTTGTTTGATATTATTTTGTTGATTTGAGTGAGCGAATGAGATTTTATGATGTTATTACACTTGTGTGCATGTTCGGATTGGAGCCCGAGGGGCTTGGGTGAGTTTTGAATGTGTTTTGGAGGAAATGAACTACTGAAGCAAAATCTGGTGCAGCTGCGCTGCAGGTCTCGCAAATGCGAAGACTTGCTTGCAAATGCGAGCTTCACTTTTGCGAAGCCAGACTCGCATTTGCGGAGTTAGGCTGGGGGCAGAGGACTTCGCTTTTGCGAAGAAAACATCGCATTTGCGATTGGCGGGCGTATCGCATTTGTGGAAGATGGGTCTCATTTGCGACCCTGGGAAGCTGGGTTCCTTCGCTTTTGCGACTCCTGTATCCGCAATTGCGAACCGGTGGAATTCGCAAATTCGAAGGAAATGTTGCACTTGCGACTACAACACTGTTGGGATACTTATCGCACTTGCGATCAGTGGTTCACTTTTGCGATGGTCGCAATTGCGACATCTGTGGCTGGGTTAAAGAGGGGAATTTTGCGACTTAGTTCATTATACACCATTCAACCCTAAACTCCATAGAGGCAATTTTTGAAGAGGATCTTCTTCCCAAATTCATTGGTAAGTATCTTTAGCTAGTTTTCAATAAATTGCAACTACTTTTTCATGAGTTTTAACATCAAATCTATGAATTTCAAAGTAGAAATTAAGGGTTTTGGGTCAAAGTTAGAAATTTTATAAAATTAAAATTTAGACCTCAATTTGAGGTCGGATTTCGAAGCAAATCTCATATCCGGGCTCGGGGGTGAATGGGTAATCAGAATTTGGTCAGAATCTCGAATTTCGACCACACGGGCCTGTGTTGCCTTTTCAATTTAGTTAAATATTAATTTTTTTCACTTGTGGGTAGTTTCTAAATCTTATTTTGAATTGTTTGAACAATATTAGGCTACATTCAATTGGTTTGAGACTTGTTCTAAAGGAAAAATCATGGTTGATTGTTGATTGTGTTTCGGAATGAGGTAAGTGTCTTGTCTAGCTTTATTGGGGGAATTTTTTCTATTAATTGATATTATTTGCTACATGCGGGGATATGCATATACGAAGTGATCAACGTATATGCATGTACCAGGGTTTCCATGCTCGGAAAGGGGAATTATATGTTTCTTTGTGCCTTTGTTGAACTTGATGATCCTTTAAGCTATGTTTCTTTTAATTCGATGACGAATAAACTCAATTATCTGCGGTAGAGATCATGTTAGAATAAATGACATCTTAAGAAGGATTTAAGGTGCTGTTTTTGAGATTCGTTTGCATACTTAACTTGATCGCAGTAGCAGGAACCTATATCTATATATGTTATTGTCATGTTACTTGAGTTTCTTTATCCGTAAAAAGAGATGATGATTGGAGCCTTAGGGATATGTTTGACACGATGGGTATTTCCGTGCGATTGATATGATGTTGGCACGATGAGTATTTCCATGCGGTTTGAAAAGAGATTTGTTTGTTGGTTATCATAATGCGAAAATAAAGGAAATTGGATTTCTGTAATTATTACTCATTTGTTAAGTACTTACATGCCCTTTACTTTGGTTTCTATTAATGTTTGTTGTTTCGTATGATACCTTCCGTTTGAGTTCCTTATGTACCTTTGTGTTTTCTCTTTGGCATGTTACTATTATAGCTATGTCTTTACCTTGTCTGAACTGTTACACCTACGCTTTTAGTTGATTAACTTATGTTGCATGTCCTCTTCGAATTCATGCATTTAGTTGTTAATAACACATACCTGTTACATGCATTTAATTGTCACATGATTTACTCGTTAGATGTCATAACATGCTACATGTCTTCACTCACTACATGCTTTCACTTACTACATACTTTTACTTACTATATGCCTTCACTTATTAAATGTCTTTACTTACTATATGCTTCTACTTGCTGGATGATTTCATATACATAATGCCTTCATTCGATCATGTTCTAGTTTGACAAACATCTTTACTCGTTTCATGTTCTACTCTCCTTTTCTTATCTGGATTGGGTGAGTTTTAGATTGGTTGTATGTTATGCTTTGTGGAAGCTTTGTCATTATATATGGTAGACTAGCTTTTGATATTGAACTACTCATCATATTCTGTTTGTTTTGTATTAGCTAGTTAAATATCGCGTGTTTATTTTTTTAGTGTTATGTTGTGAACTTTTCCCATGTTTGATTATTTTTGCGGTTTCATATGATATTGCTGCATAATAAAATTGGGTTGTATGGCGCAAACATTATTTATTGATATTGGGATTGGGTTGCACGCCGCAATAGATGTTGGGATTGGGTTGCACGCTGCAACAGTGTTATTGATATTGGGATCGGGTTGTACAGTGCAATAATATTTATTAATATTAGGATCGAATTGCACGCCGTAACAATATTTATTGATCTTGGGATTGGGTTGCACGTTGCAACAATGTTAATTAAGATTGGGATCGGGTTGCATTCCACAACGGTATTTGTTAGTGATGTTTGGTTATGACCTTTGCGCGTACTTTGCAATTATTATTTCCTTTGTAGAAATAGTTATGAGGTTATGTCTTGTTTGCCATGTCCGTTAACTTGCTCCATAGCTCTCCAGTTGATACTCTTACCATTATTCAATATAACTCTTGCCTTGTGTTTCTTGCTTATTATCTGCACTGGTACATATTAAGTGAGTATTTTTAACTTAAAATCTCTACACTACTTCATTGAGGTTAGTCGAGATACTTACTGAGTGCATGTGGTCGGTTGTATACATACTACACTTTTGCACCTTGCGTGCAGATCTTGGAGCTACGTAGCTGAGGAAGACGAACCCTTGTATTAAAAACATACCCGTATTCTAGATTCAAGTTGCCTCTTGTTCATGGTAGCTTAAAACTTATGTTCTGTTGATGTAAACTTCGAACAACTATTGTATATATTCTTCATATCGGTTTTGTAAATCTGAATCATAGTGTCTCGTGACTTGTACTACCAGTCCTTGGGATAATTGTATTGAAATGGGTTATAGTTTCTATTATATACATTGTTGATTTCTCAGTTTAGTTATAATTTATGTTGTTTGGCTTACCTAGCAGGTTTAGTTAGGTTCCATCACGATTAGGTAGAATTTAGGTTGTGACAGACATATATAGCAATGTACAAATTCAAAGCATCTAGCATATTATCTATCAAATGTTCCGACAAATTAATGTTTACATTTTCTTCGTTTGTTTGGTTTTGAGGATAAATTTTACAAATGGTCATTTGTTTATAACTTCTTTTTTATCAAAGTAATATAATTATGTTTCTCACACACAAAATTATAATACTTTCACTAGCTTACATAAAAATCATAGTGACCGAAAATACAACTTTTCATTAGTATATATATATATATATATATATATATATATATATATATATATATATATATATATATATATATATATATATATATATATATATATTATAGCTAGCAAATACAATTGGTTTCAACCGACCGATTAATTATATATATCCTTGCCCCCCAAAAAAACTAAGTTAAAAATGCATGAGATTCTGATATTAAAAAAAAGAAATAAAAGGCATGGATAATTAGAGAGTTGTTGTGTGACGACTCGATAGGTCGTTTTGAGTATTAGCCTTTATTTTCGTGTTACATGACCTCTATTAGCTCCATTCGATATTTTTTTAGCTGCGTGCGTGGTCCATATTGTTTTCAGAAAGTTTTTACGTAAAAATTTGAAGAAAAAGTGATTTTAAGCTCAAATTGAGACTTGAGTTGACCACAGTTAACATTCTTGGTAAACGACCTCAGATCAGTATTTTGACGATTTTGGTAGGTTTGTATGATATTTTAGAACTTGTACGCACTTTTGGTTGAGGTCCGGGGCGACCCGAGCCCATTTCGGCTCGTTATGTGATAATCTATGAAAATGAGTTTTCAAGTTGAAAATCATGAGTTTTGATGATCGATTAATGTAATTTAATGTTATTTTGATGATTTTAGGTAGAGAGTACGTTTGTAGGATGTTATTACACCTGTGTGCATATTTATATTGGAACCTGAGAGGCTCGGGTGAGTTTCGGATGCGTTGCAGAATAATTGAGCAACTGCTGGTGCATTCCAGTTGCCGGTGTCTGTTGCAAATCTCACAATTACGAGGTCGGGCTCGCATTTGCGAGCCTCGCTTTTGCAGTCATACGATCGCATTTGTAAAATGGGGTTGGGGGGCTGGACATCGCTTTTGTGAAGGGAACCTCGCATTTGCGGACTCGGTGTTGTTCGCATTTGCGAACCTTCTTCCGCTTTTGCGAACTCTGGCAGCTATTGACAACTTCGCAAATGCAAAGCTTTTAACGACACTTGCGATGGAGGGCTAATCGCATTTTCAAGATTATTATCGCATTTGCGATATATGTATACATGATGCAGTGTTCGCAATTGTGACCAGTGTTTCACAAATGTGGTCTTCGCAATTGTGCAAAAGAGTTCGCAATTGCGATACCTACATCTGGGTATAAGAGGATAAATCTGGAGTTAGCTCATTTTACACCAATTCTCAATCCCAAACACTCTAGAGGCGATTTTTGAGGAACTTTTTGTTCCCAAATTTATTGGTAAGCAACTCTAATCCAC